TGCACGGGAATCGGAGAGGGAGGCCCAGACTTCGCCAAGCGCAGGGTCCCTGAGGGTCTGCGTGTCTGAGAACCAGGAACCCGGCCGCCTCCTCACTTCCCCTCCTGGCTCTCTGGCCAGACGGCTAACCGGGAAGCCAACGCCAGTGCGAGTGCGCTCCCAGGCAGCCGCCTGCCCAGGTCCGCAGGGTGGGCACAGGTACCTGAGGGGAGGCGAGCTCTGAGACTGGCCCTCCGCCTGCCAGGCTCCAGCTGAATGGCGAGGAGCTAACCCTCCCCGCCCTGTCGCCCCAGCCGGAGAGAGATCAGGACGCCCTCCCCTCAGCACTCCTTGTGAGGGACCCCTCCATTCTGAATTGGGGGGGAGCTGCAGGGAGTCGGGAACCCTAGATGGGGGCCGCTGCCACGCCCGCTGGAGCCCCGGGCTCTGTGGAGATGGGAGGATGTCCTGGTGCAGGGGCAGGGGACCGGGCAGGGCAGGGATCAAAGGTGGGCCTTGCTGCCAGGGACAGCAGAGGGTGCGCTGGGCCACTCAGCTGCTGGGAGCCTGGATTGCGTCAGGGACGGTGGCCCTGGGGAGAGGGAAGCATTGTGGGTGGATTTGAAGGGGCCAGTGGGGGGGCCACAGGGAGGTCTAACAGGGCCATCCAGAGGCCCTGATGGAAGGAGGAGGCAGTCAGGTGGGGGCGGGGGGTAGAAGTGTTCAGGAGGCGCGGTGGGCGGGGCTTAGGGACCAGGCTGCAGGGCCTCTGTTGGCAGCTCCTGTCTGGTCGCTAGTCACTGTCTGTCTCCGTCCCCCCAGGGATGTGTTCCCCCAAGGCCTGCCTGATGAGTACGCCTTCGTCACCACCTTCCGCTTCCGGAAGAGCTCGCGGAAAGAAGACTGGTACATCTGGCAGGTCATCGACCAGTACGGCATCCCGCAGGTGCGCAGGCCGCAGCCGGTCCTTCTCGGGGCCAGCCTCACCCCTCCCAGGGCTCCCCGGGGCCTCTGTCCTGGGCCGGGATGTACGGAG